TAATTTTGCAACAGTTAATCTGTCTTGGAATTATGAAAGAAGGGTCACTATTCATAATTTCGCGCCAAACGCAACGAGTAAATCTTAGCGAATTTCTCTTGGAATGTTCATTATATACGTGAGATAGCTTTAATCTAATAACAAAAGAGCGTTCTTATCGCCTAAATTTTGAGGTGTGGAAAGTATAACACACACATGTAACATGTAACAGCTATTAATTGGTAAATTTTCAATTTTCAATCACGAAAGTTGACTATGCCGATTACTTACACTTTCATGAAAAAGGTGGTATGTTTCACCGAAAAAAAATGCCTCGATCGCCCTACGAAGGTCAAGAAATAAGATTCTATTATCTTCAATAACTTGCGTTGAGAAAATAAAATGTTTATATAGGTCAATTAAACGGTCTTTGAAAAATTGTTATCTTTAAAAATAAAATATTTTCTTATTGTAACAGTTGTCCTTTCTATTGATTTAATATGACACAAGTGTGCATGGGAAAACAGTGGTCACGTTTTTTACTTACTACATTCTTGAAAAACTATTAATTTTAACTATGATTTAAGCTATGTGTTACCGTTATGCAAAACAAAAGATATAGATATTGTACTTCGTTTGCACATTAATTCTTTTCTATTTCTACTTTGAGAAACAACCAAAACCAATTAAAGAAGACTTGTAAGTAGACCTTGGATAATAAATGTAGTTTGACACCGAATTGCAACGAACCAACGACGTGACAATCCAAGTATCCCTTCACATTTCATTGTTCCTTATGTTACTTTCGTTCAAGCAAACGCTCAGCTGCCTCTGTAAACCCCTATTGCGAAATGTCGGAATTGACAGAGACCGCCGCCATTAAGATCACGCTTCAGACTTTTGAATGTTAATATCTCGAGTTCGAATTCATCAATTTACAAACAAATTATATATTCAGCCTAATGAGAAATGTTTCTATCAACCATACTAATATGATTTGAAAATATTGAAAAACAAAAAAGTTTAAAATTTTGACTTTTTTTCTTTGCATGCCGTTACGACAGGAAGTAGAGACGACGTACAAAAAATCGCGTCTTCGATAGTTCTTATCACGATCTATAATCCCTATAATCCCTGAAAGTTCCACAGTGATATCTTTAACCGTTCTTTAGATTATCCACGAACAAAATGTCAATTTAAAATCAGAAAATTGTCCGTAACTTGGCACCAGAAAGGAATTTCCAAAAAAATCTCCAGGATATAGTAACTGCAGATAGCAACACATTGTTCCCGCAAATTTCATAAAAATCCATGCAGTAGTCTTCGAGAAATCACGTGCACAAAATTTGATGGTCAGAAATATTATAATTATAATGAGCTCAGGCGAGCTTCAACGCCTTTTGCGCTGGAAAGATATAGACTCAAAAAAGCAATTAAGCAATCCTTCCTCTACCTTCACTGAAAATCTCAAGTCAATATCTTCATTCGTTTTTTAGTGATTGCCCGGACAAGCTGACCCTTTTAAAATCAGTAAATCGTCCATATCTCACGACCGGAAGTGACGACGTACTTATAAAAAATTTCCAATAAGGTTCAGACCAATATCTATCAGATCTGAAAGTTTCGTGAAAATCGACCGAGCCGTTTCCGAGAACTCGCTTGCACAAAAATCGGTAAGAAAAAAATAATAATAACTAGAGCAAAGCTCGTTGCAAAGCAACGAGTAGGTCTTCCGTCCGGTTTTGTCCGGAAGTGCCGGAAGTAACGGAACAAAAGAAAGCAGTGAGCTAAGTAGTCTCAAGTGACTCTATAATTTCAATTTTGCATGAAAACCTTCAAAATAAGCCATTTTTGCTACTTCCGGTTTGACCGGAAGTATCAACGACGGACGGAAAAATTACTTTTTATGCTCCCAGAGACATATGTAACCCAAAAACTTGTCAAGAACGGCAAAAAACGCGTTTTCCGACAACTTCCGGTTTGGCCGGAAGTGACGACGTCGGACGTATTTTGACGACTCCAATAGATTGAACTTGACATTTGAAACAACTTTGCTTCTTTGATGTATTTCAAATTCTCAATACTTTTTGAGATATAAAGGAAAATCTTTCGGCCCCTCTAGGCCCTTAAATTTAGGGGCCAGCCCTTTTTTCGAGATATCATTTGAAAGATCTTGATATTCTACACTTCTTTTGTTCTATATGTTTTAACAAAATATTTGCAGGTAAAAAGATATTTTAGAAAAGGTGTCAAAAATTTTGATATTCGCGATAGGACTTTTTTCGGGCCATAGCGAGCGCCGTCGTGCAGCACTTCCGCAGAAAAAGAGTGGTATGTGTCACATCAGCTCATGTTGCTCTATCATCGCTGAAAATTTCATGCTTCTGTGTTGAGTGCTTTTTGAGAAAACTGCCGGACAAAGTGACCCTCTAAAAATCACTAAATCGCCAAAATCTCAAAACCGGAAGTGACGTCATCAAAATAAAAAATTATATATCGGCTTTGTTTGATGTTCTATCAGTCCTGAAAATTTCATGAAAATCGAGCCAGCCGTTTCCGAGAAATCACGTGCACAAAATCGGTAAGAAAAAAAAAAACAATAATAATAAAAATAGTGGAAAAGACACCTAAGAATAACAGTAAGGTCTTCCGCTGAAGACGGAAGACCTTAATAATAGGGAAAAAGAAACCGAACGAAAACAATAAGGTCTTCCGTTGGAAACGAAAGACCTTAATAATAGGGAAAAAGAAACCGAACGAAAACAATAAGGTCTTCCGTTGGAAACGGAAGACCTTAATTACGATAGTTATATTTCTTTTTAAAGATTTTGAAAGGGACAGACAATGATGAGTATTTTACTTTTGAAATTATACCTGTAATTTCATAATGATTATTTTTTTCACAACGAACTCAAGTCGTTGCTGCTGTGACGTACAACATACCGTAGATTTTCTTTTTAACAAAATGGTCAACCTACGAGATTTCTGCTTGTTTGAAACTAGAGATGAGTGTGAAATTATCAAATTTTACTATTATCATGAATTACTTTTGATATTTTTTTTAATAACGATGTTGAATTCTATTAATTTTATGATGAACAGTAGGCCATCAAGCTGTACAGGTAATACCCATGGACTTCCTGTGTATACTGTTTGTGAATAGGGATTAGCGCTTCCCAAGGTCTGCACGACCGTCAATACCTCGGGGTGCCACGCATGTAAAATTTAGTCCCTCCCCTTATCTGAGAAAACCGTAAGGTTAAAAATCTCGGCCTTTAAGGACGCTCTAAACACTGCACACCAAAGAACTCAATTTATTGGGTAGTTTTATCCAGTTAAAGTGATCTACCCTTAGATGTAAGATTAAAGAAATTGTTATTTATCATTAATTACATAATTCATAATAGATTATAACATTTTTAGATTTACATAAGTAAACAAAAGTAACAAAAGTAAGAAATTTAATTAATTATTTTCACTAATTTTCCCAATGTAAGTAAACAACAGTGGTTTCCACTCACAAATAGTTCATTGTCTTTTAACATTTCCTCCGAAAATAAGGCGCGTACCCTATATTCTAAATGAATGAAAAAGTATCAATATGCTTATCTTTATATGATATATTTTTCTCTAAGTAAAAGAGAACAGTTTCTCTTTGTGTTTAGAGCTTCCTTAATTTTTTAAGATCTTCGTATTTCTGATCAGAATTCTAAGAAGCTTACACAACATAGCGTCAAAATAAAATTGAAAAAATATAAACATCAATTGAATTATTATCGCCTTTAGTATGGGTCCACTGGGGGTTGATCGTTGTTGTTACATATTTTAATTATCTGATTTCGTGACTGTGCCAGGTACCCCTACCATTGACACATTTAGAGACCATTGAAGATATGAAATTTAACATTTGTAAAATATTGTTTTCCTTTTGTGAGTTCATTGTGTTTATAAAACGTATATGCGAATTTTCACCTAATAACGTTCATTATAAAGAAAAAAAGTTAAATGTCGCCCAAAGTCGAAAATCCGATTTCGGTTGGGGAGGGGGGGAGTGGCCAACTTTTCCATGCCAAATTACTTTCACTTCCGAATTTTTTCCTACAATTCCTTGATAACACTATACTGTTTTAAAAAGTGGGGGGCCAACCTTCCTTTCGGTGAGCATTTCCTATATTAAAGGTTATGTTGGCCAAAAAAGTGGGGGGCTAGGCCCCCCCCCTGCCCCCCCGGTTGCTACGTCCCTGATATACCCCGGTACACCATGTCTCAATAATTTTCGAACAGCCCGGGTACAATACCTTTACCCATACGATATATCCCGGTAATTTTGAGTTTACAGATACCACAGAGTCCGACACACCTGTTTCATTTTGGATATTTTACTTGAAAAAAAGACTTTAATGGTAATATTACAACCAAGCTCTATGATAATGATGTGATGTCTTTACCAGTACAAACGTCAACTTTCCTTACTGATGCAGCAATATATACCCTCTAGGATCGATAAATCACTTTGTCAACAAATACAGTGTATCAGTGAGTCAAATGCTGACGGCCGTTTTTCAGACTAACTGTTACTCCATTATCTGTAAATTGAATTGACGATGGATTTTTCGGATCCGTTATTTTCCAATCGTGACACGGAGCACACGATGAATGTAACCGGTAGGGATAGGAGAGGGTAAGGAGATTTTAAACCTCATATTATTACATTTATTGGTAAGCTTAATACAGTGCATAACAAATTATGATTAATTTGAATACTTTTTCTGCAATGTTTGAAATTTCTTCGTATGATATTTGACAATAAAAATAATGATTGAAAAATGAATTCTTTTTCGGAAGTAATACGCAGTAGGGAAATATAATTTTTTGAGCATTGTACTTTTGTTTGAAATAAATAAAGTAAGACCATAGTTGGCATGAATTTTGATATGGAGGGTTCTTTCAGGTTTAGTTAATACTTTGGTCACCTTATTTCTTGGTTTGACTAAACGATGAAAACACTGGAAATTCTTTACCTAACTACAACTTGTTAATTCCTCTGATCAGGGAAGACTGGTAAAGCTTACAGGTACATTGGTGTAGTGAAAAAAGCCCATAAGCTATACGAATTGCTTGTTTTGTATATTTTGTTTTTTACCTAATTTTTGTGATGTGTACACATGCTCCACAAAATTGTGTGGTTTACAGTACCAGGTTTCTTGCAAGCTTTACCCAAAAGTAAAGTCACGACTGCTATCAAATCCACAGTGTTCGAAAGTTCTTTACGATACTTAATATGTCAATATATTTTGCTTGTAATGCGTCATTTGATTGATAAAAACTTAATCTAAACTATAAAATCTGGGTTGCCTGCATCACCATGACTTACGTCAAAAAAGTATCAATAAGCTTGACGCTACGTTTAAAATACTGTATAATCACATATTTTCGTGGGATAAATTTTTGAGGTTTGAGGAAAAATATTTGGTTTGTGGGGATTTGAATTCCTAATTGGAAAATGTTTAGTAGTAATGCATAATTATGAAATTTTACATTTCATGCATTCATTGGTCGCTCCAAAGAAAGCAACGAAAATATAACTCGCATGAAAATTAGTATTTCACTGTATGAACAACTTGAATGCTTTTCTAACGGAAAAATTGTGTGGTTTTCTATAATTAATAATTGAAAATGATAATAAAGTTTAATGTTTATAAAGCGTAAACTCAGTATGTACATTATAAATTGATTGCCATTGAATTCATTCCTTAAATACCTCTATCAATTTATACTTTGCGCTTTATTTACATATCTGCGATACATCATAAAATAATAGGATTAAGACAACTTTGAGGTGTGTTCCATCTCCAAATCTAAGCCTCTTCGTTTCCTCTTTTTTTCATTCTACGCGGGACACAAATTCTCTGAATTAATTTGTTTCTCTTAAAAGCGTAGAGGGTGACATGTAAAGCTGTCAACTTCATTTATGTAGGAGTTTGTTATGTTTTCAATTTTATTCCTGATTCAAAATGACTTATGTTTTTTAGCACATATAAATGTAGCATTACTAGCTGTATTTTGCACTGTAAGGTGTGTGTATGCGTGATCAATTTTAAAGAAGGAATTTGTATAAACTCAAAACCATGCTGGAAGACATACAATTGTAACCCGTAGTCTTAGGTTCTGTTCATGTTGGAATAAAACTATCGACTCCAGTAAAGAAGATGGGCGAACAAGGTGGGCAGAATGCCTATAGCGTTAGATATTAAGAAATCATATCAAATATGTGAACTGATTATTTAAATTAACGTCTAATTATTGAAAGTTTTGAAATTATGAGAAAAAAAACTTTTCTGAGAGAGAAAAAAATCTCGTTCAAAACATTTCTTTCATAAAATTATTAGTTGGTATTCGTGGGATTCGAACCTTAGAAATAAAAATCCGACGTATCAATAGCATACTGCTTTGAGACTAACGCGTTAACCACTATGCTACACCGCTCATGGTGATTTTGGGCATTTAAATCATGTTTGTGATATGACCTGCGACTTAATGGACTTGAAGTATTTCTCGAAAAGATGCTAATGTTGTGTCATAAAAGTGTACTTTTAAGGTATAGTGGGTCTTCGCTCCATGTTTTTGAAAATCAAAAAATGTGTTGTATTTTATTGCACACTTTTAGGACCATCTTTCAAAAAAATGTAGAGAAGACCCAACCATGTTGAAAATGTTTGTTTAAGTATGAGAAAATGATCGTTTTAGTTCTTTTTAGTGTGTGTAAGCTTTTTCATACACAAATATTTTTAGTCTTTGTGCGATTTTTGTAAATTGTAGAGATTTTACATAAAGTATACTTTAATATTAGAAGAAATATCAAGTAAAATTTGGATTCAATTAAGATTAAAATTTTCACTTCATATCTGTCACACTATATGCATTCTGTTCTGATATATAACATGTTTTTGTTCATAGACTAAATATTAGTGAAATTTTTCAAATAAAAAATACAAACTCTCCCTCATGACGCTGTGATTTATCGTATAACGTCGATTACTTATTCTCACATTTCCATATTTGTGTTATAAAACATGCACAAGAAAAATCACCTTGGACAACAAATGACATTAAATAAGTGATTTTTATTTAATAATTTTGTACTTGTTCCTTTTCATGAGCGATATTTTTAGCATTTTAGAAGAAAAATCTGGTTTTTATTACCCCCCCCTTAAAATAGAAACACGAGATCACAAGATGTTTTGTTTCTTTTTACAACCATTGGTGTCAGTTTATTTTTCTTTTTAGGGGAGGAAGTCTATTGTGCATTCAATGCCCTTTATCTGTTAATATGGTCTGTACTCGTAAAATCTAGACGGAAAATTCGGATTCATCTAAACCTAAATACTTTAACCCCCCCCCCCCAAATACACAGTTCAGATCAGATAGATGGTTTGATTGCATTTTTGTTTCAGAAGTTTTTTTCGTCTTTGTGATTGAACAATTTGAACAATTTCATGATCATGGTATGTCGAGTCGACATATGAATGAAAGTAACTGTTGCTAATTGATAATACGTAGATGTATGTTGTCGATATCTAAATTTAAAAGACCACAGAAAAACTTTCCTGTTTTCCTGAAATTATGTCTGCTAATAAGGGGCATTCTGATAACAAATGGCCTTATCATTTTCCTGAAGAGATTGATTGTATACCGTTTCATGTTCCGCTTGAGAATTTTTTTACTCATATGGAGACGCCAATGCTTTTCAGTGGAGAAAAAATTTGTCCTATACTCGGCACTGAGGGCCATTGAGCAGGTAGGGATCTTTTTTGTACCAGCGCCTACTGCGGCTTGGGAGCTCAAGGGCCGGTCTCCATGTCCTGCGGTGGGATTCGAACCCGCGACGAGAGTGAGAGAGCATATTATTTCACACATGAATTAAATCAAGGCGTTCGTCAAAAATACTTTCTGTTCTTGTTTTTTTTTTCAAATGAATTTATTCTTTTTTGGAGCAGTTTGGGGAAAAGATTCGATTGCATCTTTCTATTAATATCGAAAGAATGGCCTATGCAAGAGCTTTATCAAAGTAATTGTCCTCTCTGACCCTACATAAAAAATGCATAATATACACATTGCTGCAATATAATTTATATCCAGTGAAACTTTAAATTTGGCACTGAACTTCCAGTCATTGGAAGGACCCCCCCTTTCTTATGTTCCAAAAATGTGCATTTGTCGCGCCTCGTGGTGGAAAGCAAGTTCACAAATCAATCAACTTCTCTCCGTCTCTACAAACATAATGTATATTGGTCAAAGCGTCCCCTGATTTTAGTCAAAGCGCCCCGTGATTTTGGTCAAAGGGCCGGTCAAAGCACCCTCTAACATATTTTTATAGAAAAAATCCCGCCCCCAAATATTGGTCAAAGCGTCCCCTGATTTTAGTCAAAGTACCCCCTGATTTTGGTCAAAGCGCCCCCTAACATATTTTCATAGAAAAAAAGTATCTGGGGGCAGTATTTTTTCTATAGAATTATGTTTGAGGGCGATTTGACCAAAATCATGGGGCGTTTTGGCTAATATCAGGGGACGCTTTGACTAGAATTAGGGAACGCTTTGACCGGGACGTTTTTATTACGGGGCACTTTGACTAAAATCAGGGGACGCTTTGACCAATATTTGGGGGCAGTATTTTTTCTATAATATTATTTTTATTAGGGGGCGCTTTGACTGGCTCCCCTAGACGCTTACACTGAGAATCGCGGAACAGCGAATTAGTGCAATCGCAATTTCTCGGGCCTTTCCAGCTAGCGGAAAATCGACCTCGAATGTATATGGTAGACGCCATGACAACCCTCCTTTTTTACGATCTTTGAAATAAATGCATGGAGACCTTTTATCTGTGGAATATGGAGTTTAACTTTATTCAATGTAATGATATTACTTAGAATATACTATAGAAGGGGCTTCTAAATTAGTCTATCCTATATTTGAATAAACAGGAAGATGTATAAAATTTTAACATCCGGTGATGTTTATACATTCGAGGCTGTTTTTCCGACCTCTAACGGAAAGACCCGAGATGATGCGATTGCGAATTAGCAATCGGCAATCCTCGGTTGACTCCGCTACGCTCCATTCAAACCTCGGATGTGATTATTTGAGGAATACGCAACAGATCCTTACATTTCTCCGCCGGAAACTGCCTTATCACTCATTTCATATTTCGCTCTGCATAACGTTCTTCGAAAAATTATATTATTTTGTACAATTCTTTATCGTAAACAGGTTTTGATTACATCCACATGTTAACAGGCTTTGAAAGCAAGAAAAAACTGTTGAGTATGCCACAAAATAACATCGATTTCAAATTTATGACATTTGAAAGAAATTCAAATAAGATCACATGACTGAATCAGCAAGATGGTAGATCACCGTTGACGTCCGAGGTTATGTGCGAGGTACGAGTCATCTGAGGAACTCCGATTGGCGAATTAGTGCTATAGAGACAAGCGTCTGGATGATCGAGACTACAAATAATGACGAAAAAGTAGCAGCAAATAAAAGTAGTATAAAGAAGAAAAGTAGTATAAAGAAGAAAAGTAGTATAAAGAAGAAAAGTAGTAGCATATAATGACAAAATACCATAATATAATGACAAAATACCATCATATAATGATAAAATACCATCATATAATGACAAAATACCATAATATAATGACAAAATACCATCATATAATGATAAAATACCATCATATAATGACAAAATACCATCATATAATGACAAATACCATCATATAATGATAAAATACCATCATATAATGATAAAATACCATCATACAATGACAAAATACCATCATATAAAGATAAAATACCATCATATAATGATAAAATACCATCATATAAAGATAAAATACCAGAATATAATGACAAAATACCAGCATATAATGACAAAATACCAGCATATAATGACAAAATACCAGCATATAAGGAAAGTTCTCCACATAAGGCAGTTACGGCGTTCCATACAATTCCTTCTTTCTCCTTGAGCTAGAGGATTCCATCGTATGCGTAAAATGTTATGTTATAAAATATACAAAAAAATATTCTTAAAAACATAAGGTCAGCGTTAAAATTCATTTAATTGCTTTTCAAATTGTAAATGTGTGATATGAATTCTCAAAATAGTCACTTTATTGAGCCAAATGGATAAAATAGGAATATTCTCATTTAATACTATTGTTATATTTCTACCATGGTCTACTTTTTTGTGTTGGTCTTCAAATTTATCATATGCTATTAGATTTCTTGTTTAGATACTTAATATCTTAAGATCTTGGTATCTCATTTTGAAATATTCTATATGTCCTTTTATCTAATCCGATTTTTTAACTTAATTCTTGTTAAACAAACTAGTCGTGCCGAGGTATCCAGTGTGTACGGGTGTTCAACTTTATCAGGGTATTAGCAATTGTCTCAATGCATGTTGGAAGGTCTGTACGGTGAAAAATTTTCTGACGGACAATTCACTCGAAATAGCATTCCAATTCTTCCAATTATTTTTACATTTATAGGGCATTATAGTGAACACTATTTATTTTTATAAATCCAAGACCTATGCATAGCGTCCGTTGAAGCCAATATATATAATGATGAAAAGATTACATTCCTTAAAGATGAAATGTCGTTTTAATTCTTTATTTCTCATAAAAGAATATACAGTGAAAACTGTCTAATCCGACACCTGAGTAATCTGACACACTGTGAATTACGACGTTAAATTTCGTTCCCATTTTAGTATTTTCCTTGTTTTTTACACCGTGCAATCCGACACCCTGTCTATTCCGACACAAAATTTTTCTCCCAGTGCATGTCGGATAAGACAGGTTTCACTGTATCGCTTAAACTACTTGTATATCAGTAGTGATTAAGTTTATGAAAATTTATATTATGGAATGTCTGAAGTATAAAATACAGTTGCATAATAAATGGACCAATTTCTTATCATTCATTTGAATTTATAAGATAGTTAGCTCGACAGAAACCATGCTGCCCATGTTAATGTTGTATTTCTACCTTGGTCTTTTTTTTATGTTGGTCCTCAAATTAATCATATGCTTTCAGATTCGTAGTTAAGATACTTAATATCTTAAGATCTTAGTATCTCATTTTGAAATACTGTAGAAGCACTAATTTTCGTGGGGATAAAATTTCGTTGATTTTTCATCAACAAGAGTTTCGTGGGCATTTAATTTCGTTGTTTTGAGAGGATGCCTATTCAATATTTAGTCATATAAAATTTCGTATGGGATTAAATTTCGTTGATAATTGTTAACAAAGAAATAAACGAAATTTAATCCCCCACGAATATTTGTGCTTTTACAGTATGTTATATGTCCTTTTATCTGATCCGATTTTTTAACTTAATTCTTGTTAAACAAACTAGTCGTGCCGATGTGCCTAACGTGTACGGGTGTTCAACTTTATCAGGGTATAAGCAATTGTTCTTAATGCATGTTGGAAGGTCTGTACACTAAAGAATTTTCTGATGGACATTTTACTTGATATAGCATTCCATTTACTCCACATTGTTTTAACAAGTTAAAGGGTATAATGAGTGAATACTATTTATTTTTATTTATCCAAGAACTATGCATATCGTCCGTTTTAGCCAACATATAAAATGATGAGAAGATTACTTAAAGATGAATATACGTTGGAATTTTTTTTTTCTCACAAAAGGAACTATCGGTTAAATTACTGGTATATCAGTAGTGATTAAGCATATGAAAATTTATATTATGGAATGTATGAAGTAATAAATGCAGTTGCATAATAAATGGACCAATTTCTTGTCATTAATTTGAATTATCAGATCGTTAGATCGACGTAAACCATGTTGCCCATGACCAAGATACGTCTTTAATGTCATTTACTGCGACTACATAAGACTTTGATCTGGTAATTTGTTGTCAGGGTTTAGTCTATATATCAGGTAAAATGATAAATGATGAATCGATTGAACGAGACACCAATCTCGTACTTTAACATGGTTTAAATAGAATTATTAGGTATCAAGAGTACGCAAGGAGAATCGAATCGATCTTGTAAACAATCTTTATAACAGATATAACCAGCAAGATAGTTAATGATTTTTCATAATTTTTCTTTAGGTAAGTTGAAAATTTTCGTGATTTTTTTAAAGAAATTAAGAAAACTTAATTTTTCTTCAGAAAAATATTTAAATTAAAAAGTGTTCTAAAATGATTTTAAAATATAACTAAGCATTAATTTCTTACAAATAATATGTTTCTTTTTTTTTTTTGGTCTTTTAAATTTGACACAAATTAACTTTAAGACCAAAGATGAAATAATTTAAACATAGTGGGTTTTTTTCTCTTAATCTTGTTTCTATAAATGCTGGACTTTACGAGTTTTTGAATGAATTAAAACATACTTGTTTTTATTTTATTGAAAGAAATTATCTGCTTTAAAAAAAGAGGACAAATGAACTTGATTGAGTTCGATTTAAGCAAAATAAAATGCATTCCGGTCGATGATACAGCATTGGTATATTGTTTCATGTTTTTTGAATAATTTTAATTACATATAACTCTTTTTCTATTAAGTCACATATTTTCGGAAGAATTTTTTGGCCTCAGAGTAGAAGTGAGTTAAAGAATAAAAATATGGCGAGAACACTTTGAAACCCTCAAAGTCAATAAAACAATACAAATCATTTTTGGTTATAAAGCGTTATTTGAGTGGATATAAAATAGTTTATATCGTATAACCTGTGTTGCCTTCATCACAGTGACTTACGTCAAAGACAAATCACTCCGTCTAAATCACTCCTCTTACATATAAAATGTGCGCAATTTAAATGCATTTTTGAAGAAAAGATTGTCGTATCATCTACACTAAATGATGGAAAATCATATTAAATGGGTGACTTTAATAGCTAAAAATGTTTTAGTGGCCTAACCTGGGTAAAAGCATCTATCTTCGCTAACTAAGAGTTTCTGATACCCAACTCTTGAATTCCGCATAAACAATTGTCATACGATGTTCAATTATTTTTATTCCTCAAGATGTTATTGGTGTTGATCGACATCGATCGATCAACGAGCAATTGATTTTAGGAATAAACGATATCGTTGGTCGGAACATATTTGACATTTGCTATTCTATGAATAGATATGGTGTCATCCAAAATCTTAAGACATGTGCAAATTATAAATAAGACGTATATTGAATTTTTTGATTTCACCTGAAATACCTCGAATGAAAAATTAAAATATTTCCTTGTTATTGATCCTTATAAAAATTTCATGATTTAAATACGTAATCTATTTCTGTTGATTAAATCTGTAAGTACACACAAATTGAGTTTACGAGACAAAATCAATCCCGTCATTTCATAATATTACAATGTATATGCCAAGGATTTATGAAGAGGGTGTCGTATCAGAAACTCTTGGCAAAGATGGAGTTAGAAAGTTTACTGTTTTATTATCCATTTCGCGGTTTATTAAAAGGAACAGTCCATACACGGGTTTCGCTGTATAACTATTAAATTTAATCCTTCAATATAGTATGTTTTAGTCCATCTGAGATGTTAATATTGGTACTTCTACTAAGTTTTGGGGCTCAGAATGTTGCCAGTATTTATGGAGGATGCATGAGTTACTCTACAACAATAGAATCTTCTGGGCATTTGAAGGCAAGACAGTGTATATTTGCTTTATTCCTAAATAATACATATTTTTACCATCACAAATCTTTTAATTTTTTTTTAAAAACAAATATTCACTAGTTTATGTAAGACTCAAATTTTAAACATTAAATGTCAATTCTAATGACAAAATTTATTTACTTCGTCTCCCCCTCTATTATGAAATCAATTTTATCATTTTGACAGGTGAAAATCTTTTTTCTTAATGGTTGGAAGATAGATAAAGGTCCATGTCCATTATGTACAACAGCAGATAAAGGATCAGATGTTACGATTGAAAGAAAACAATTAATTCAGCAGACGAAAAAACCAGAAATGTTTGGGAAATGGACAGCAGAAGTTTACGATCAGAATGGGACCGCATCATATATTGATAAAACAACAACAGTAAATAATGTTTCTACAGACGTGGTACTCATTGTAGGTGAAAAAGAAGGATGGGAATTGATAGGTTCCGAAATGTCTCTGGACTTTGATTACACTGAAAATGAATTCGATATGAAGTAAGTTTTATTTTCTAATTGAGTATTGATTCATGCGTATATAACCGGTAGAAATACACAAGTCGGTACTTCGTTTAATAATTTATTAACGGTCTAAAACTTGGTGTTTCTACTCGATCTGTATGTCGGCGTGGACAGTGCAAGGTCCAGTTTCCAACTGAAGATCATGTATTAAACAACCAATTTATAACAATGATGAAGTAAACAATTACAATAAAGAGTTACACTGGGGAGAAGGATATAATTGACATAATTAAGATAATTGCATAATAAATAAAACTTTAACTCAGGTCCAGGTTGCATCAAATGTCTAGCGGTCAAGGTGTATAATTATGTTAATAATTAGCACTATATCGAAGAATATAATTATCACTCAAAATCTGTTCATTTCACACGGTAACAGTACTCCTTTGCCCCCCCCCCCCCGAAACACGTCCTCGTGTTTCCAAGATGATCTAGCTTCGACAGGCAAACTTCTGACAGTGTTGGAAGTCCTGGGATACTGCTTCCTGGCTCCACGGGGCGGTCCGCTGTATATGGCTTTCCTCGAGGAATGAAATTCTTTGTATTTTCTGAGTGAATTTATCTCCTCCTGTTTCTTTTGGGTGTCGTTCTGGAAGTCATCGATCAACTTTTTCGATTCCTCAAGGTCTTTTTGTACAGCAGAGAGTTTTTCCTGGAGTTCTGTGATAATCTTGTCCTTTTCTAAGAACCGCGCTAGAGACGCTTGCCGCTCACGCAACCATTTGTTTTGGTAATACTGGGCGTCGGATTTGTGAGATGCTGCCTGGTCCCTGAATTTTTTAACTTGGGTCTCCAATGTTTCACTATGAATTTCAATGACACTGACAGATGAAAATGGCATTTTACTCAATGTGGATTTTTCTTTGCGGGTTGTCCGAAATTTGATAATTCTTTCTCTGTCTCTATTTTGCTTCCTCTTTGATTTCCTTCGCACTGCACATGTTTCATCAGTCTGTGTTTCGACTGAGCGCGTCGGTACTGAAGAGACGGCACAGATGGTACGGAAAGTCCGTGTTCTACACATCCTAGCATAGTGTCCTCTTCTTCCACACTTGAAACATGGTGACGTCAGTGCATTGCAGACGGTCCAGCCGTGTCTTAATCCGCAGCGTCCACATTGTTGCAAGGTAAAGCGCGGTTGGACTGGTCGCATCCATGTAGGAACAAATGGAAACATGTCCATGATTAGGGGAATTCTGGTACGAAGTTTAGCAAACTCGCTTGGTTGTATGAGATACTAGGATCTAACTACTACAAAGTATATGCAGTAGCCCTGGGTAAATTACCCTTAGGATTCTCCACCAAATATAACCGCCCGTTTTAGTGTGTATTACTCCACCTTGGCGATTACTAGGGAATTAGCTCAACACTCGCAATATTTTCCACATTTATTAAAGTTCATAAAACATATAACAACAATCTGGGGAATATGCTACTCTTCACTCCGTACAATATGTATAGGGGAAACTCGCTAGATAATAAATTAAACGGACAGACAGACGAACCTTATGACAATGAGGCAAACGCTACGGCTTTTAGGACGCTTTTTTAATTTACATGTATCTTTTCTCTTACTCTGATTCTAACTAACTTCTATTATCTAAGTAACATTCTATAAAACATTTTCTTTACTTTGATTGACATATCCAATTATAAATTAATCAATGTGTTCTATCCAATCACTGTCAATTAATCTTTATTACTCAAGACTGATCATCGCTAAAAGTTAACGCCCATTACTTGACCTGCGTTAATCCGCTAATTGTTATCCAAACGTTGTAACTCAATTAGTGTCAAACACTCTTTTGATCTTGAAATATATTGTCCATCTGTCCACATTATCTGATAAGTATTTGTCCTTAAGCAATATTTAATGGCTTTGATTTATTATTTCATTGTTACAGTTAAGACTTTTTATAAACATTGAGTTACATTTTATCACTTCCATATCTAGAAGAATTTCACAAGATTGCGTATGTTAAATACATTAATTAATAAACTAGCCGAAAATAGATAATATATAGGAATGTGCAAAATATACATTTTGCACGGTCATACGTATTGGATATAATAATTATTACAAATATATGTAGCCATTTGAAAATGCATTGTTTAATAAAGTATTCACAAAAAAACAAAAACAATACAGGAAGATATATGTACTATGTAATGTAAGATTTTGCATTTTGATTGTACATGTATGTAATTTATTTTTTTTTTCTAAATGCATGGATATCTTATATAGTATTTATAAATTGTCATTCAAAAAAAAAAAACGAAACTAATTTGGTCATCCTTTGTGGGGACATTTTAAGCAGCAATAACGTTTATGAAGATTCAATAGTTGTAAAAATAATTCAACTGTTTTGAATATTCTTATGTACAGTAGTAAAATTTCCTGACATAAAAAATTGATAAAACGAACCTATAGGTTGCTTTCTAATGAAAAAAATCACAGGTCACAAAGCATACTTCATTTAATATAATATTCTAAATAATTCTGAAGTTCTTAAAATAACTATTGATAGACAACATTTTAAATAAGAATAATATTGTTTATAATTTATTATTATAGGTTTAGAAGCCTTATCGATAACTATATGACACTTTTACCGGCACTGTCCTTCATCAACCTTCAAGTAAAGGTGGACCCAGGGATAAGAAATGATACAAACAGAACCAATACAAGTCCCGTTGTTCTTGTCAAACCACTATATAGGTAAACAATTTTCATGTTTTTATTTTTCAAAGAGCACATTTAAATCACTTAAAATGCTATTCAGAGTAAATGGTAATCGTGTAATTCGCTTTAATTAATCATTCACTTAACGTCGCTTACAACCATTTTTTTTTTTCATGCCTCGTCTGTGGATTTAATATGCAGTGTATTTTTTTCGATCCACGAAACATTCATTTCATTTTATACAATATCAATAATAAAATATCACCATTTACTTAACTTCTCTGGATGATTCATACATAAATATATGTATATAAAAATAAAATGCCCTGCTTTTGTTAGTACGGGAATAAACGCTAGCAATATTGCAGAAAAATAAGGAACAGCTTCGTTGTTTCTTACTTTTCTCTGCAATAGCTACAGATGAATTCTTTATCTAACAAACAAAGATTGATTGGTATTTTGTATGAAATAGATGGAGTAAAACGTATGGAGATAACGAACAGTACTCAAGATCAAAAGATTCTTAAAGCAATATAGAATATGAGCAGAGCAAATGCAGACCTCCAAAACATCAGAGGTGGGATCAGCTGCCATGGAGGAGAGAGTATCCCCAGCCGACTAGTCACAATTGCCTCTTACTGCCATGTCATGATCTGGAAATCAAGGGAAAATCCGTCGAAAATTCAGTGTGTGTAAATAAATGCCTAACAATTAGTATGGAAAATGTAAGTCAGTAAATGGCAATATTAAATGCAAAAATCATGATCTAGTTCTTAAAAGCTGTTTCATTCAATTACTTAAATAAAATCTTGACATTTACTAAAGAAAGCTAAGTTAACTGATTCAGAAGAATTATCTATTAATTGATATATTTTGTTGTAAATGTTTTTCTTTAATGAATTAAGCTTAGAACTTGGAAAGATACACACGATACACCTGACATCTGTTGACAATGATGGAGATGCAATACGCTGTGATAAAGCTTTATACGAGGAGTCTTCAGGCATGGGATCATTTGTAGAGAACTTAAAAAACCAAAATATTTTCTCTCTTGATCGAGTGGTATGTAATTTTATTCATCGAGATCAAATAAAGTATTTCAAAATGACAGATATATATATATAAAAAAATAACTTTTTTCTTTTCATCATTCAGCAGAGGCAGATTTTTTCATTAATAGCAGGAGAAAAGATAACTTTGTAAGGGTCGCACAAAGTGTTGCAAATGATTTTTTTAAATTACGAAACTTGTAAGACAAACTTTGGATTTTTTCTATCATGTTGAATAATTTTAACGCAAATTTTCACACATCTGCTTAAAATATCTCTCAACTACTTAAATGCAGTTGTGACAATGCGATCCAATATTCATTAGAATTTTCAAAACTTTATGATTTCTGTCGTTTGCTACAATGTAGAATAAGGTAGAAATCATATAGTCTTTTTATCACAAAACAAGGAATGGTAAAACATTTAAAAGGCTTTAACTGTGTGTCAAGTTCTTTTTTCAATACAAAATAAAGGTTTTTTTTTACGAAGTAAGCTTTATGAGCGAGAGATTGTTCCTAACAAATTTACGTCAATACCAGAGAGATCAATTAAAGCAATTTTGATCAAAGTTTTGTTACACTGGCACAAAATAGCCTTTTATTATGTTGAACTGGACAAACAGTGTATATCGTAGATGTTTGATCTGCTTCAAAAGGATAACTTGTAAAAGAATTAATTTATGTGTACGAGTGCTTAGTGTAAATTAATATCTATCGTACAAGAGACTGATAATAAAATTGCAATTGTTGATATTGTAGAACACAACTTAGATCTATATTATCAATGCATGAAATATTTTGTCAACTAATCTGCAGGTAACGAAAAATATTTAAGCTCCAAAGTCAATTCGAACATTTCAAATCAGGAGCAGAAAAACATGGACCCCTGAAACATCCGAGGTGGGATCAGGTGCCATGAAAGAATGAGCACCCCTGCTGACCGGTCATACCAGCCGTGCTACATGTTGTTATCGAAAAAATATGTTGAGAAATAATAAATATAATGTTTGTATCATTTAAGACCAAAATAGGTCCGAAAATATATAACAATCCAGATATCCATTTTTATTCTATCATATTTGTGACACCATCTTAATGTCCTTAATGACAATATTTGGAGATGCTATTTTCAACCCAAAAACTGTACACTACCTCATATAATACTTTTTATTTTTAAATTATTGACAAACAAGTTGATGGAAAATAGAAGTCACCATTCGAAAGTTCTGTGGTCGATACAATGACCTTGTCAGCAAATACAATTTATTTTTGCTGACTGGCGTTTTTCATACAAATTGATTGACTGATTGTATATTGTTTAACGTCCCTCTCGAGAATTTTTCAATCATATGGAGACGTCACCGTATGCAGGTGAAGGGTTTCAATTATTGACCTTTACTTGGCACTCAGGGCCATTGAGCAGTGAGGGATCTTTATCGTGCCAGCGACTGCCGCTGACATGGGGCCTCGGTTTTAAAGGTCTCATCCGAAGGACCCGCAACTTTCACTTCAAAGTGCCGAATGCATGGCGAAGGAACAGTTGTTACCTATTTTAACGACTAGGTCAGTCGCGGTCGAGATACAAACTCAGGACCTCCCGATCTCGAAGCGAGCGCTTTACCGACTGAGCTACCGTAAACTGTCATACAAATTGATAGTCCATTACTTATACACTGAAATGACGAATGATTTTTCCGTTACTTCCCGATCATGCCAAAGTGCACACGACGAGTGTGACCGGTCGGCAGGGGATGCTCACTTCTAAATGGTACCAGATCCCACCTCTGATATTTCGGAGTTTCGCTTTGACGCTTTGACCGTATTTTGTATTGTTTTATGGACTTTCAGCTTGAATATTGATCGTTATCTCAATATTTTTTTCTTTAATTCATCATTAACATATCAATGTATCTTACATTTGAGGATATTTTCTTCTAGAAATGTGTCATGAAAATCTCAGTCAATCAGCGATATTTTAACGAAAGCGACACATTTGGTGTAGCAATCACAGTGAAAGACTACAGCAAACACAATATTACAATTCAGGGCACAGCTTTGTTCCCATACATAAGTGTTCTGGGAAGAGTTGTTGTCATGGTATGTCTTTCAAATTTAAAAATTCATATACACAATAGTCATACGAATCATCATTTTCAATATTTCTAAATACAGAAATCAAAAATATCATGGTATAACTATTTCATGCCAATCTATTAATTTAGATGTATTTCAAAATAACTGGGAGAACAGATCCACCTGAAATTATACCACCCACTCCAAGTAATAACCAGGAGTATACTATTTATGTTGGAGGAGATTTTCATGTCGATGTGTACGCCGAAGCATCAGCTGGAAAGTAAAGTTTCTAAATAAATTCGAATTTTCTTCTTATTTAAAATCGCTTTTTGACGTGTGCCTACTTTTGTCTTCGTTGCAATTTATTTTAGGCATATAACACGATTTGATTTTCTTCGACGAGATGGAAAACCTGTCAACCACACGGGCATTCAACCTGCAGCTAATATCAGTAGTAATGCTGTATTTATATCGATGTCCTGGTCTCCGACAGAAGTAGAAAAAGGACATCATATTCTATGTGCAAATGCTGAAGATAACCAAGGGTAAAGTAAAATATACTTATAGTATATTTTGACTACAAGAAAATAGAATAAAGGCTGACTTATCAATGGGCAAAAACCATACAGTAAATTATCAATGGATATTTCTTTAAAGTTTATGAGACAAGCATATTTTGGTCAAACGTGTTCAACATGATTTTAATTCTCGTTAAGCACATTGCTCTTGTATGCCATTGAACCGTTGTAGCGTCAAAATAACATATATTTCCTCTTTTGAAGAGGAGGTTAAACGTATCAAAAATTAAATGGAGGGTGAATTGACGATGCATCGGACACATGTCTTGCTTTGGACAACTTTGAATAATAAAATAAAATTTTAAAAGAGTTCCTAAGCCCTTTCTTTTTTCTGTCTTGAAGCAGACATGATTTCATTTTTCAATGATGCCGATTTTCATCATCCCTCATCATTAAAAATAGCCTGAGAATAGAATTGAAGAAGGATATGGAGATAACGAAAAGTATTCAATTTCAAAGTCCATAAAACAATACAAAGTAAGAGCAGAGCAAACATGGACCCCCGAAAACATCAGAGGTTGGATTCGGTGCCATGAAAGAGTGGGCATCCCCTGCCGGCCGTGTGCACCAACAAATTTAACATCATCAAAGAGAAATTACAAGAAGAATATGATTTTGGTACTTTTTAGAGTTGCCGGTTTTTATATATTAAGCCCTCGTCGGAACGAGTCGGAGAATTTTGTCAATGATAGTTTATTTAACATAACATTCAAAGAAATTTCGCTTCAATGTATTTAATTTTTTTTTTTAGAATTTTTTCCATTTCACGATGCATGGGATACAAATGAACCATGCATTGGACGTATTCCGATGCATGTGTAATCATATAACTCACTTCCATTTTCATCCAGAACCTAACTGACAGCTGGTAGAAAAAGAAAATAAAAACTCGGAATTTTTCAATGAAAATCAAATAACTGATAAAAGATTTTAAGAATCTACCTCAAATTATTTGTACAAAAATAGAGTATAAACCACGAGAGAAAGGAGAGAACTACTCTATTACAAGTCTTTTCAAGCTTCTGTAACGAAAATTGTGGCATCTTGAAGTTTTCCAGATTTGATCAACGATATTGTCAATTAAATTCAAGTTGATGGTTTATTCTTAAGTTAAAGATGAACAAATACCCATATCAATAATTTTAATTCATTTATCTTTAAATATAGGAAATTCGTGATAATTTATCAATAAATAGTATGCAATTGTGTCCAAAACTCTTATTTTAATCACATACTTAACGTTAAGCTCCATTTAAATAATTTTCCGTCGATAGCGATATCCCTTTATATTGAACTCATTGAAATACAACGGTGTCTGATGAACGGCGAATTCACCCAAAATATAGTATTGATTCCTAAATATTATAATTAGTCCTTACTGTCCTCTACCTCCATCTCTTTACAGAATAATGACTGTGGATTTACACTGCTTCCGCATCCTGGTCAAAGGTTTGGGCATTATCAAATTATTAAAGGATTCAGACGGTTTTTTTTCTTCATTTTATTGTTTGTTTTTTTTTTTTCTAATTTATTTCATTTTTATTTTCAATCTTTATTTGAGACGTCAAGCTGCTTAGAACAGAAAGCATTATTTAAGGGGTTGGATTAGAGATAAAAATGTGAAGTTAAAAATATAAGTATTCCATTATTTCCAAAAACAATACTAAAATGTATTTTATAGAAAATGCCAAAAATAATCCATAGAAGAAAAGAAATGTTTTTATTTAGCATCGTTTTATTCATTCTTAGCTGTTATTCTTTATTTCCTTCAATTGATCTCAACTTGATTGTTTTCATCAATATGAATTTAAACCACTGTATGTGAAACAGTTCGAACTGGCGTCAACTGAAAAATAAGGTATTATATCTTATAAAAGAGAAATCGAATTTTAATATATTTTCTATGTTTCAGAAAATATATTTCGACCAACAACTCCCGAAATAGTAAGTTGCGTATTACTTAAACACATCATATGGAAACGAATTGGACATTCATTTTGCCTTGTCAGAAAAAAAAACTTGAATTTGAAAAAGGGTTCTTAATGAAAAGAAAGTTTCATAATCTTTTGTCAAGCTACATTCTTCCATCGATATTTAAATTGTCTTATATGTAAGATTTTTTCAGGGAAAGCCATACTTTGTTTCATTCCCAGAGCCAACGGATTTATCATGCAAAAATGGCACATATTGTCGATTTCCTGTCTATGCCTTCTCTTCGAATTCCGGGTATGTTACTTTATGAATTACAAGTTGATTGAAATGTATGCGTATAATTTAACTGCAATTATAAAGTTCCAAGTATAACATAAATATCCTTTATGTTACAGAATGAAAGAACTACATGTATAATTTTTTAATATTCATCATTTTGATGTAGCATGTTTGTTTTTTGAAAATTGTTGTGAAGTTGTTTGGTGTTTACAAACTATTTATGTCGGGAACAATTGCCTATTTTTAATCTATGATTCAATTGTCTTAATTAACAACCAATTAGCGTGGCGTCTCCAACTCACGTGATCCTTGTTTTTCACGCTAAATTGCAAGAGAAATTTTGTCGGGAAAAAACCTCCATCCAATCCCTTTCTTCCACCGTTATTTTTTATATTGTTATACATGTAGAAGTGTTCCTACCTGTTTGTTTGGCGTTTATTTTTCTTTTAACCCACCCTTTTTGATGGCAAGCATATCAGAGCCTGCTTTATGCTATATTCAATTTTATGGGGTTAAATTACACACTATGATATAAAGGATTTTTGTGTTCTTTCGAATTTTTGTCTAGTATTTTCTTATCCCCTTAATACATGTATTTTTGTTTTGCGTCATTTGCTTAAATAAATGACATTTTTATTAATTAATGTTATTTTTATTTTAATTTTTCACCTCTGAATAACTGAACATAAAAGGATATCTCTGCGAGAATAGGACAAAAAATAGAATACAGGAGAAAAATACTTTACATATTTTAATAACACCTCAAACACCAGTGCATTAAATGAAAATAGAAGGAGGTTTAAGGAGATTTATACATAGTGCAGGATGAACAAAATGGAGACCAACATAATTGGGAAAAAATGGTGTTTCCTAACAACATTTTGACGTTATCATCCATGTGCCTTATGACGAAACTATTTAAAATACAAAATATCATAATTTGTTTAATTATGCATAGACCTATTTGATTTTTGCTTTCGATATTGATGAAAAAATTATTAAAGAGTATAAAAAATTTAGAACGCAGTGATGATTCTTTTCTTATTTTAGACAACTTCTATAAATTTTACCGGACAATCCTTGGTACTTGGTCACCAAATTCTACAAACGAAATGAAATTACAATGCTGACAGTGAATTTGTTGTCTTCTTAGGCACCTAATCCTACCTCTAGAATATCAAGATGTTTTTTGACATGCATGTTCACAGAAATACGGTTTTGATTCATCTTTTAGATGATTTATGTTGTCCAACTTGTTTTTACAGAGGCATCACAAATATCGTTAGCACACCTAAAAGCGAGGAAATTGTGACCATTCAATACAGCAGGGAACTCATCAACGGCACAATCGACGCTAAAGTTGCCCAAGTAGAATTTCTTGCAAGTCAGGCTGGTGCTCGCCAAATTTGTTTAAAAGCATTAGACAGGTATAAGTATTAAGTACTTGTATAACAGTAATAACATTTTATGTTTTACTACCTTGTAAGGCCAATACATTTCATCTTACCTGAGCGTAAGCCTTCTAGCTATTTTCTGTAGTTTTAAGCAAACCAATACCAACATTATATTAGGTAGTTGTAATAAATGCTAGACTTGTTGCATTTTTTAAATTTTTTTAAATCAAATGATCACTGCGTTTAATAGGAATATCTATTTTGTTTTGAAACAAATTCATATATATCCAGCTGTCATCAAATATCAAATAATTATACGATAAAATAAGTTATCGATTGCTAGAATTATTAATTCAAAACTATGTTAATATTCTGTAGTAATGGTTTGGCAGTCAATGAAATATACTTTTATGCCTAATTTTTTTTATTAATAAGTTTGGCGTACGCCGAGAGATGTCTCTATGTTACAGTAGAACTACCAGGTAAATGCTATCTTTTATACATCTGGAAATTCATATTGTCTTTATTTGTCGTATTTTGAAGATAACCTAAACTTCATCAATTTTCTTTTTAGATCCCTGTGCTTCAGATCCTTGTCAACATTCTGGACAATGTTATTCATTTGATAACAATACGAAATATACTTGTTCATGTACAGACGACTTCACTGGGTTACAATGTGAGAAGAGTAAGCTTGCCTTTGCACTAGATTCATGTAAAACAAATATTGACTATTAAATTTTAACAAAAACAAAACAAAATATACGTGCATATGATTTATTTAATGAGAACAGAAAGAAAAAATAAGTAAAATAATGTTTTTATCATAAATAATAGCATAAAGTTTAATTGGAGTTTTAGATGTATGTAATTATTGCTTTACATTTGTTTTGCTTATTAAATGATTGATGACTTTCTTTTTATCTGCAAAAGGGGACATTTTTATCTCATACATCTTATCAGTCCCGTCGGATACTATAAAAATATGACTCTCTACATGTGTTCTATTTTTATCTTTTGACAGAGAGGGATTTTTGTGATCCAAACCCTTGTCTTTTTAACGGACAGTGTACAAGTGTTCAATTCAAGCCATTTTTCTTCTGTACTTGTATAAATAATAGTACGGGAGATATATGTCAAATTGGTAAGAACTGAACTTAATTTACCCTTTAAACAAATGTTTGTATCATTTCATTTTTCTATTAATATAAATTATAGTATATTTTTGTAGAATATCTCGTTACTTCTGTCATTTTGTAATGCACTCTTCTTTTTCACTCAATACTTAACTGTTAACATACAGTGTACGATGTTACAAGTTACATCTATCGTCATTTACCAAAAATCTAGAGAATTTTAGCGTTCTGTATCTTTTTTTATCGTTTTATTGAACGCTGAGTTTTCCGATTAGTATTCCGAATTCGAGCGTTCAATGTCAAAAGCCCCGTTGTTAACAAAAACGGTCGTCTGGTCAAATTCTCCGAGTTAAATTAAAGAAAGGGAGTAGCATGTAGGTAAGATGTGTATTTGTTTTTTTACAAAAATGAAATTATTTATTAAAAATTCAGTGCGCATTATACCCATTGAAACATAGATAAGCAAATCATAGCGCTCAGTAGGGTCATCGGAATGATGCGATATTGAACGCTAACAGTACAGGCGTTAATTTGAATTCCGATACTAAAAACATCAGTACAATGACCCTATATTATTAGCCTTTTATCTATATTTGTATTCTCTACGTTTTTCCACTGTGAACCTGTAGTCTTAAATTACCTTCTTAGGACTATAGAAGCCACATCTTCTCCTATGAGTGCAATTCCTTTTTACACTCGTAATGTATATTTCCATTTTTTTTCTCTTCATATTTTTGCTTATTTTTGCGAAGAACAATAACTTTTCAAACTGAGGTGTTTTAATTTAACAAAAATGAAATATAAAAATAAAAAACGGCGGGTGTGACCAGTCGGCAGGGAATGCTTACTCCTCCATGGCACTTGATTCTACCTCTGATGTTTTGGAGGTCTGTGTTTGCACTGCTCTTAATTTGATTTGCTTTATGTAACGCGAAAAAAACTTGGCTTTTTTGCTTCCCTTTGCTCTCCTTTAAACAGTGTAAGACCTAAATAAGACAGACGGTTACGGGGAAGAGACAGCTAAGTGTTTCATAGTAAACCAACGCACGTAAGACCTGAATAAGGCAGCTGCTTGTTTCGGTAGAGAGGTAACATACCACAGATAAGGTGGGGAAAGTGCCAAGAGACAATAATTTTGAAGTGGCAGGACAAGAAGAAGTTTACTTGCATAAGACACTTGTTGACCACAGTTAGTTTTTGTTCATTCAAGAAAGAAACTCATTGCATTATCGTATTGTATTTGTATATATCTTAAATTTGGTCGACAAAATTCTGAGGTTACAGGTTAAGGAACTATAGAGTGTGACACTTCGGTGATACAAGACATATCAACAACACCAAGCTCGGCCGTGTTGCACGTTACGTTAATCTCAGTATGTTTTATTAAGGAATAAGTCAATGAAATTTGATGGCTGATCTAAGCTGGCTTTTTTTAAGATCAAGGATTATATTGCTCATTGGTCAAAAATTTTCTCTAATTGTAAACAACTAAAGGGGGGTATCTTTTGGAATTTCCTGTCCAAAAAACGTCTAGAAAGATTTTGTCTAAAATGTACATACACATAGTATATATAGTCATGTATCAAATATACAAAAATAGCGAAAATTAAACGACAGAAATTTTTGGGACGGTGAGTTATAAGGATATTCTAATTAAGAAGATGCATGTACAAAGAAATAGCTTTTCAAGGACAGTTTTGTTATTAATATCTAATTTAAATTAAAAATACAAATTAATTTAATGTCATATTTTTCAAAATTTTATATTTGACTACTGTAAATCACTTTTTACTCGCGAGAACTTTATTTTCGCATAATTACGCGAGACAGTGTGCTCTCGAAAATTTAATTCTCGCGTATAATAGTATTCCATTAGATTATGTAGAGCAATAACCACAATTCGTGAAAATTTTGTCTCGCTTGTCAAGAGTCAATGACTTTCTCGCGAAAATAAGGTGTCGCTAAATTTTAGTGATATACAGTATCAATATATTTTCTTTTGATGTATCACTAAGCAAACTATGATTTGTTTAAGAGAAAAAAAATAATTATTAGCAAAAAATAAAAATAATAAATATATTATTAATAGATATAATATTAAGTTCAACATACTTTTGGAACAAAACAAATCGAAAACAGCGAAAGTCAAGCATTAATCCATTAATAGCTAAAGTTGTGCATACTAACTACTAGGCCAACATTTACTCTCTGCATTGACATAGAATTTCCCTGTTTTTCCCCAGTCATGATAAATGACACACGGGGAATATGAACGGTTGGAAGGGAATACGCACTCCTCCGTGGCATATGATCCTACCATTCATGCTTTGGATGTTTGTGTGCTCTGCTCCCCTTTCTTATATTTTAAAAGATATAAGAGCTTGAAAACTGTAGGTTGTCTCCATATTTCCCCAAAACCGCAAGTTATGCACTTTTTTTGGCAATAACTACATTTAAATCGTAGTAACAACTACAAAATACATGTTAATGATTAATCAACCTCTATGTCATGTTATTCAATTCCTTGGATCACCACAACCATCCTTGTAGCTATACAATTTTAATCTAAAAATTTGTTATTCCTTTATATTTATTTAATTAGAACAAACTCATCAAATTTTATGATTTGCATAGTATACATTCGTGAGAGTTTAATTATGAATGAAATATCATTTCTCTGTTATTTACAATTAGGTCCAATATTTAGCCAAGGAGTAAATACATTGACAACATCTAGCCAAGGAGTAATTACACTGACAACATCTAGCCAAGGAGTAAATACACTGAAAACATATAGCCAAGGAGTAAATACACCAACAACATCTAGCCAAGGAGTAAATACACCGACAACATCTAGCCAGGGAATAAATACACCCATAACATCTAGCCAAGGAGTAAATACACCGACAACATCTGGACAAGGAGTAAATACACCGACAACATCTAGCCAAGGAATAAATACACCGACAACATCTAGCCAGGGAATAAATACACCGACAACATCTAGCCAAGGAGTAAATACACCGACAACATCTAGCATAGGAGTAAATACACCATCAACATCTAGCCAAGGAGTAAATACACCGACACCATCTAGCCAAGGAGTAAATACAGCGAAAACATCTGGTCAAGGAGTAAATACACCAACAACATCTAGCCAAGGAGTAAATACACCAACAACATCTAGCCAAGGAGTTAATACACCGACAACATCTGGACAAGGAGTAAATACACCGACAAAGTCTGGTCTAGGAATCAATACACCGACAAAACCTGCACAAGGAGTAAATACACCGACAACATCTGGTCTAGGAGTAAATACACCGACAACATCTGGTCTAGGAATAAATACACCGACAACATCTGGTCATGGACTTAATAAACCACAGACATCTGATCACTATCAAACAAATCAAACAGTTTCAAACTCTGGTGCACGCTTACACTCATCTACAACTAGTGGTTTACATATTTCTAACTATTCAGGTGTTAGTACACAATTGACAACAAAGATACAGAACCCCACAGCAACAGGAACGACACCAATGAGTCATTGTAATTCTATGAAAGGTGAAAATGTGTTCTGAAATTAATTGTTTTTTAAATATAAGTAATATCATCATATCACTAATATGGTCCAATTATGTAAATTTCCTTCACACGTACCTGTTCTTTTTTCAGTGAAAGAAAGAGCGGTAAGTCCTCTTTATTGTTTGCTTTTTGTTTTCCTTGCAAATTCTTTATTGCTCAATATTTTTTTAATTAATGCTTTTAAAAATAGCATTAACAAAGTCTCTCTCTCATTCTTTTTTTCTTTCTTCCTCTCTCTCTCAATAGAATTTGAAAAAATTAACACCATGAGCCTCAATCATTTTTGTTTCTTTTTATATCCTAAAAAGCGAAATCTTGAACAATGAAACAAGGTTAAACCTGAAACATGACACAGCAAAATAGAGAAAAGAAATCACCATATCAAGAGTATGAAAATTTAAAAAGAAAACTTTTAGACGCGTTTTATATTTTAACGACGAAACTGGTGCGAAGGGTGTACAATGATGTTATAAGCAGCGACAATAGTAATTTTTGTAGACATTAAAGAGTTTTCGACCTATGAGCCTGTCTGTCTTACAATCAATGTTGGTTTTTCTTTCCAGACAAATGGACGAGTTGAATGTTTTTGTCCTCATCCAAGCTCAGATATAAGAATAAAAGTCATAACTTTGAACCCAAGAGTTTCATTAGAGAGGTTGTTACTGGCGGCGGGCCTTGGATCAGGAGCTATGATCATAATCCTTGGATTGGTTGCTCTGTTATACGTCATCACTCAAAAATGTTCCAGTCCACACAAGACACACACTGAGCTTAATCCAGAAGAAAACCAACCAATAAAGAAAATAAGCACTGTTAGCATGACTGACAAAAAGAAATAGATTCAATTTGTGCTTCATGTGCTTAGATTAATGTGTAAATGTAATCATAATTATTTTCGACAAGATTTTATTACTAAAAAAATTGATTGAGTTTACACTTTTTATAAATGTGTGGACATTAATTCTATTAATTTGCTAGTTCAATAAATATTTGGTATTTTAAAATTTTTGTAAACATTTCAAGACAAAACAATGTTTTTTTCTTTAAAAAAGTGCTCAATATACAGTATTTCTATACTTACCTTGCAAGCAATTACAATTTATGCCATAATGTACAGTAAAAACATATTCCACATATAAATGGTGAGGTCGTTATTATTACACTGACTTGTCTCATGATTTCCCTTTACCCGATCAATACAAGGAACACACAGGGATTGTGTCTGGTTGATAAGAAGGTACTAGTATGTGGAGAAAACAAAAAGTATTCAAATTTTTATATATAATTGCATAGCAATTAGTTTGAAAAACGTCAGTCAGTATTAAGTCCGATCCGCGATTAACAAGGCTTATGAATAAATCTCAACTATGACCTGTCTTTTCATTGGTCAATTCAATGCATCTCGAAACACCGAAAAGAACAAGTTCTATTCGATCTGTTACTATGCAGCACCTATTAAATCTGATATAAAGGTGTATCCACAATGTAAATCTAGATGCATGCATCCAAGATGTATCTGTCAAGATTCATAGTCACTGTGTAAACTGGCCTTTAGACTCAATGATAAATTGTATTATCTGACAAAGTCATATTGGAGTGTTTTCTCCTTTATGGCACCGGATTCAATCTCAGATGTTTTAGTGTTTGGTATTGGCTCTGCTCCTGATCTGTATTGTTTCAATGGACTTTAATTGTGTGCTTGGTTACTGTTCATTATCTTCATTTCTGAAGTTATGTCAAATCTTCATGACTGAGTTCAAATTCAACAAAATATTGTTTACTGTTTGCAATATTTTTTTGTATGACATCCAATGGAGAAATATGAAATATTTTTTTCAGTCATATCAAGGCTCGAATAAAAATGCCAGCGTTTGCTAGTAGAGGGCTGCAAATTATTAGACCTGTTACCGAAACTAATCGCCTTTGAGTAAGGATTTTTTGTGACAGCACCAATTAAAACATATCGACTTTATGACGTATTGTATAACTCACTGGGTTATTGCAAAAACCATTGAGCATAAAAAATTATGCATTTTTCTTGGGTATTGATAAATTTGTTTAAATTTTTATGAACAACCAAGAATCGAACCGATTGAATAAGACAGTATTGTATTTGTTTTTATTTCTTAGTCACTGGGATATACGAGGGTTGTCCCAAGAAGTCGTAGACAATGTTAATAACTTTTTAAAAATGCAGCCAATACTAACCAAATTTTGCATAGACATAGCATATTCAATGTTCCTTTAAACTATAAATTCTATATATATATATATATATATATATATATATATATATATATATATATATATATAATATATATATATATATATATATATATATATATATATATATATATATATCTTTCATATTAATAATAATAGGACGATTTATATGATAGCCAATATGGTCTGTCGGCGCACGAACAAAATTCGGAATAATTTCCGCATGTAATTATTACATTTGCTTTTATTTATCTAGTACTTTGTAAAACATTGAACTCAAATTTAAATCAGTGAAACCAAAATCAAAATCTTGATAATATGTTAAAATTTCACATAAATATCATTAGAAATGGACGATTGGTGTCATGATTTTCAAAGTGTTGTTAGCTCACCTGAGTCGAAGGCTCAAGTGAGCTTTTCTGATCAAAATTTATCCGTTGTCTGTTGTCGTCGTTAACTTTTCACATTTTCATCTTTTTCTCAAGAACCATTGGGCCAATTTCAACCAAACTTGGTACATAGTATCCTTGGGTAAAGGGGATTCAAGTTTGTTCAAATGAAGGGCCACGCCCTATTCCAAGGGGAGATAATCATGAATTTGTTAAAAATTAAAACTTTATGGCATTTTCAAAAAATCTTCTTCTACAGAACCACTGGGCCAGGAAGATGAAACTCATGTGGAAGCATCCCCAGGTAGTGTAGATTCAAGTTTGTTCAAATCATAACCCCCAGGGCAAGGGTGGGGCCAAAATGACCGACCCAAGTTTTACATAGGAATATATAGGAAAAATCTTTAAAAATCTTCTTCTCCAGAACCACAGGGCCAGGAAAGATGAAACTCATCTGGAATCATCCTCAGGTAATGTAGATTCAAGTTTGTTCAAATCATGACCCCCGGGGCAAGGGTGGGGCCAAAATGACCGACCCAAGTTTTACATAGGGATATATGGGGAAACCTTTTAAAATCTTCTTTTCAAGTACTTCAAAGCTATGATTAGTGATATTTATATGGAATCATCCTCAGGTAGTGTAGATTCTAATTTGTTCAAATGATGAACGCCTGGAGGGGGGGGGGAGATAAATTCAAGCCCGATGTGCTCAGGTGAGCGCTGTTGCCCCTGGGCCTCTTGTTGGAATTGAGTTAGATGAAAATGACGTCGTCAAACGCGTAAATGGCGAACGGAGATGTAAAAAATTAATTGTTTTGGATATGGTTTCTATACATCAGAGACAAGAAAAAGAGTGCAAAAGTGATATTACACTAGATTTTAATAGAGAAGTTGTTTTAAATGGCAAGAGATTCAATGAGAGTTTTTCCTCCATACCAAAAATAGTTATAGCAAGCATTTAAGAAGTAGTTAGAGTACTGTTTTTTAAACACAAAAAGTGGGGAACGTTTTGGGCTACTACAGACGTCAAACAATGTGTATTTTCTGCTGCCTACAATGTAACGCAATCTTTCCACTAAATTTTGACTGAAATTTGAATCTGCTTAAAATTAATATCAACAAAAACCCCACCCCACCCCCGAAAAAAACCAGACGGTATAGAATTAAAATAAATCCCTAAGTCAAAAGCGGTCTTTCACTTTAAAAAAAAATATCGAATGTTAACTGACGCGTGTGAAGCAGGAAAAGAGAACACGACGCTTTTGGGACAACCCTCGTATGTGTTAAATAAATATAAATTTAAAATAAATATAAAGGAGTTTCGTTGAATGTGAACACATTAATTTATTCTCAAGCAGTAATATTAAGGAGGAACAGGACCTTTACCTGTAAAAATTTCTGTCAATGATTTTTTTTCGTATTTTTTATATTACTAATTTAATATGTACTTTACATTTTAAAACGGTCCTGTCATGGGATTTCTTGACTTATTTAAAAGATATCGTCCCACATACCGCCCTGTTAAGAGTTTGTATGGAGTTTAGATACTTCATGTTTACGGACCCATAACGGAGTCCATAATGCGAATTTTTACGGCCTAACGATAAATATGATAGATTATACTCAAATATTTCATAATATTCACAGTGTTTAAATTATCTGAAAGAAATTGTTTTATTTTTATATAGTATTTGGGTGGGATAATTTCTGCATTTTTCAAGGCAGCTTCAACGGCAAAAACATCATTTGGAAAAAAATATGTCAATAAATACTTCTAAATTTACGATTGAATGTCAGTACTTCATCGTAATTATTTACTGCATAAATATCACAGGGTGAAGCCACAGGCACCTGACGTTACTTATTTTTCTTTTAATAAAAAAAATATACACATACCTAATAATGAACAAGGTACCCATCGAAAGCCGCCATCTTGGATTTTTGAAGTAGGTCATCACTTGTATTTTCGTCTGAAACTCCGTCAAATAAATTCCCTGCAACCATATTCTTTCTGTGGCCAGTCTTTCGATGTCTAAACTTACGGACACTGCAACCAGAAAGGCGCATCACACTTGCAAATATTGAAAATCCCTCGTCAAACTCGACCTACTGCTTTAACATTCCAAGAAATCGCCAAAAGGGGGCCGGAAGGTTACATACGACTTGAAATTCTTAGGGAAAGCCCTTTTTTGATTGGTCAACATATTTGTACTATTTATTTTTAAAATTAACCAGCGAAAGTTAGTTCTTATTCCAAATACAATAATTCAGACAATAAAATACAACGTAATATACATGTAAGAACATTGAATTTCATTTTATTTCTCTCAAATAATTTCGATATAGCTTGATCAAAGCGATTTTATTTTTTAAATGTCGAAGATCGCCCTGGTCATGCTAGCTGATCAACATTTTCGAGACAAATTGAGTCGGTTATAAGTCCCTACTTACATGCACTAAATATTATCAATAACACAATCATTATTGATGCCCTGATTGAGCGCTATCCGTGGAGAAGATTGACTTTATTTATTTAAAGTATGTACACGCACGTGTGTGAGAAGGGGGGGGGGGGTCCATACTAAAATTATCCCAGGGAGTGTTTAGATTTGCAATTTTATGTATTGCAATAAAGTAGTGGCATGGCGACATTTTTATTTTTTTCTTGGTGAAAGATTTATACAGATACATGTTGCATAGGCTTATATTTGATTTCATTACAAATCCTTTTATAAATCATTACGTGTGATCCCTCTCCTTTTTCAATTAAGCATATGCCAGGTATATATGTATATAATATATATATATATATATATAACTGGATGGTTTGCAGTCTATTGTTTTTTGAAAACGATTTAATTAACTCTAGATGATTTGTTGTTGATTTTTTTTTATTCAAGCACCCCCCTCTTTTATTGAAGATTGTTTCGAACGCAACGACCTGTATAGATTAATACAGTATATTTTATAGGTATACTAGTATTTATAAGAAGTGTTTTATTTTACCCATTTTGCTTTTTTTTTCATTTCTATAATCGAAATAATTATTAAAATTTCAAAGTAATTATAACACGCCGTTTTAGATCCACCACAAAACTGACAAATACGGAATTCCCATTAGCATATTGATGTAAACTTCCGGCCCCCTTTTGGCGATTTTTTGGAATGTTGAAGCAGTAGGTCGAGTTTGACGAGGGATTTTCAATATTTACAAGTGTGATGCGCCT